CCCTCCCCTCCCCCTCCCCTCCCCCTGTTTCAATTTCATCCTGGGGAGAACCTTGCCAAGCACACCGTCATTTACATAGCAAGTCATTTTTTCATAGCAGATACTTAAGTTAACAGCTACATTTTACTCATGGTTTTAAGCAGAAATGGTATACTTGGTATCCGTGTCACAAGTAAAGCTGTAAAACATTTTACTATTGGCAGTTGCACATCATATATAATACACAACGTGGATGTGCCCACAAAAAAATGTCTTATGAAATTCTAAAATTTTGAGTATTCATTTACAATAATTAAATAGGCCTATATTTTTGCCTATTTCACTTTCCAACACTGATAAAGCAAATGAGCGGCAATGAACTATAACCAGGAAATAATATAAAAGATGAAAAATTATAAGCTAATACCCAACTTATAATGAGGCACATTGGGTTACATGTGGTTCCGACCATATCCTCAATGCATCACAGGGAAAAATAGCAAAAGATCACTTCTACAAATCTCTTCATCTGCCAGCTCATGCACACTGAAGCACCTCCTACTGCTGCTGCAGCTAAGATTCTTCACCCAGTAAATAACGGGTGAATATTACCACCTGTCAGGTGCGAGGGGAAGGGGAGGAAGGAGGAGGGGAATAGGAGTGTGGGCTGAAGTACCCACTACTGCTGCTGGCCTGCTGCAGCCGAATCTCTTAAGCAACGAAATAAACGCTACCTGTGAGGTGAGTGTTGGGAGGGAGCAGGAGGGGTAGGATGGAATTAGGAATTAAGTTGATAAAAGTATCATTGATACACTGCCACTACTAGGGTTAGGGTTAGGGTTAGGGAGTAGGCGTAGGCGACTCCCTAGACTCGTTAGTGGAGTAGGCGAGGTACGGTCCGGCATATTAGATAGTACAAGGGTATGTTCCGGCAGTACCCTGGGGGACAGACCCTCTCAGCGCCACTACTAGTTAGATCAAAATGCAAAGTTCTGCTACTGCTAGTGTAAATTGTATATTTATGATCATAATTTCATTTTTACCGATTCTGTTCCAAGCACTGATTGTCATACTATAGTACTCTACGGTAAGCATACCCCATTCTGAGTCTACGGTACGGGATTTGCTGCACAGATTTAACTAGGATAGATTATTTCAGTAAAAGTAATATTTAACTAATAGTGGCCCAAGAATATAAGAGCTGTCCACATTTGCACGTGTCGCACATTGCGAAAATGAATTGTGGTCCGCGCTTATAATGAACCACCAACCTGACCACAGGCACTTGGAACGTTTCAATAGTAAAATGATGACCAGTAAACAAACACGAAATATATTTACTACCAAAGTCTTAATGTTTCTCTACTCTATTTCGCCTATTATTGCCGATAACTTCTTGTAAATGCCGTTCAAATGCTCCTCTGCAACACACGAGTAAGCGTACACCGCACGCACGCCGCTGTGCACAAACAAGAATAAAGAGTTTATTTACAGAACGGCATTTTATATAATATACAGGAAGTTATCGGCAATTATACTATTAATAGGCGAAATACATTAGAGAAACATTAACACTTTGGTAGTAAATACATTTCGTGTTTATTTACCATCATTTTACTATTGAAACGTTCCAAGTCAAGTGCCTGGCCCTGTGTCTGTGAACTTAAAGTCTGAACAGTAAGAGTAACACTAGATACAATAATGTAACCCAAACACAGAATAGACCTATCCTGTGTTTGGGTTACATTATTGTATCTAGAGTGACACTAGCTCCAAAAACGGTATTGCTAGGGTTAGAATACCGTTTCAAATTCTTGCTCATAAAAACGTGTAGTTGGCTCGGTATCCAAACATCGACACAGCTGACGTCACATGTAATAGCTCAAACAAATCTATAAACCTCTGGCTTGCTCGCGGTAACTGGGCGCTACTGGGCACTACTTATTTATCGAGTTATGCTTATTGCTTCTGAGATGGAATTGGAATGTAAACAAGCAGAGCAGCGCCAGGGTCCGTCAGTGTTCGGTGCGACGAAATTGGCCAAGTCGACGCTGAATTTCATAGGTGGGGGTAGGCCGTGAAACACAGAGGGCAAGGTACGATGGAGTGGTCTTGCCAATGTAGATTATTAACCGTTGGTGTTTGAGATTTGATTTGTTTCCTCGTTGTTCAATGTTTTTTAATTATTTTATATATACACGAGGTATTATGGATGCTTATTTGGATGGCGCGGCCTGCGTGAGCGAGCGTACGTACCCGAATGGCGCCGGGCGGAGCTGTGCGCCTCAGTTTGAAGCCAGGGGGTGGGATGCTGATCAGGCAGGGGCTGGACGGCGTCGCATACAGCTAGATGGTGTCGACACTCTTATGCGATGCTGCACGCGCCGAGCGTAGCTCATGTCTCTCTCTTCTCCTCTCCTCTGTCTTCGCTGATACTCTCACTTCTGCTCTCTCTGCGCTCCTCGCATGTATAGTTCATGTCGGTTCTCCTGCTCCGTCGGTTTTCTTCGTCCGATTTCTTCTCGTCTGTCTCTCTCTGACTTTCGAAACGCGGATGCGTAGGTGGAAAATGCTGTCTATTCTCTCTCTCTTCCTGCGTCTCTCTCTCTTTCGTTCTCTCTCTGGCGTCGTCGCTCTCTCTGTCTCTGGGCGTGGCTTTTCTCTCCTTCTCTCCCGTCGGCTCTCGTCTCTCGTCTCTCTCTCTCCTACTGCTTCTCCGTCCTCCTCTCTCTTCTCTTCTCTCGCTCTCTCTCTCCTGTCCTGTTTTCGTCTCTTCCTCTCTCGTCTCTCGTCCTGCTTGTGTTGGTTCGTTGCGTCACGGTCGTGGAACGCTCTCTCTAGTTTCTCTGGCTATCTCGACGCCCTCTACCTTGTCTCTTCGTCTTTATGCATCTGCTTCCTCTCGAGTTCTCTCTCTTGAAATCTCTTGGCC